TTATGTGCATAAGTCAAGAGAGAGTGTAACAACATGAACTGTTGTATAACATAATGCATATATTTCTTTCAAAAATGTTCAAAAATTAACTATTTCATATCACTTTACAATTAACTTGAACATACACTTCAATTATTTTATCAGTAATATCTTTACAGCTTTTTGCAATATTTATGTTAAAATCAAAATTTTATTTAATATTTGTAAATCAAGATTCAGGACTTAATCTGCAAACAGGAGAGGAAGAAAAATATACCAAGCTTTAGCTAAATGTTATATTACAAATATTCATTACTAACAAGTAAAAAATCCAAAATCACTTCCTTAGACAATAAGAAAAAACACCCCTCCTGGGAAGAAGAAAAAGAGAATAAAAAATATGATATAATTTAGAAAAGTTTTCTATGATTTTATTAGCTTAAATATCAACCTAAGCATCTGAAAAGCTTTTATGTGAAAACTAAAATTTATTGATTAAGGTAAAATGACAGGAAGAACTAATCACACAACTTTAATACTTTATTTTAAACTTATACATGACTTTATTAACACATTTTATGAAAGTAAAATACTGCAAGCTATACCACATATTGCAAAGTGCTTCCTCATATGTAAATAATTAAAAAATACAAAAATAATTTTACATTACAATTTGCAAAAACACAGGTAACAGTTTTTTGGACAAAATAAGATTATCATAGCCTCCCTAAAAAAAGTGCTTTTACACAAAGATAAACAGTTTCAGCTTTGGCTATTATATGAACTTCATTAGAAAAAAATTATACATTTTTACAGATGTTTTAAAAATGTTTAAAATGTATGAAATTTAATGGTTGTTCATACGCAAAATATATTCATATTTTCATAACATTTTTGGCACATCTTTCAAAATTCCAATCTCAGAATAACAAATTCCTGTTTAATTTATTTGCCTAAGAACACTTTAAAAATATGATATATTGAACTAAAATATGTGCACAAAAGTAGCTCATAATGAATAAATTTATCAGCCTCAGAATAACAATATTAATTCTTTAAAAAAATTTTAAAAAAGTATAAAATGAAACACAATTTATACAAAAATAACAACAAATCTTATAGCATCATTGAAGAAAATTGCATTAGATATTTCAAAATTCAAAATAACAACACAAACAAATTGTGGCAACTGTTACGTACATAACATAATGTATTTCACAATTCACTAACACAAGAAATAGTGTCCTGAATTAAACATATATTTGCTTTACATTAAAATACATATTTTTATCTTAACAGTTCTAATAAGAAATTTCTAGTCATGAATGGGGAAATGTACATTACAAATGGTAAATTTAGTACATATTGATGTAAAAAAAAAAGCAACTACAATATTACATAGACTGGATTTACTAAATCAAACACAATTCAAAATTATTCCTATAATTTCATTTAAATAGGATATGAACATCCTTTAATTGTTCAAACTATTTATTAGTTATTTTCTTTCCTGATACAGAAAGACTGTTTATATATTAATGTGAAGAATTAATTTGAAATATAACTATTATTCAACTACAAGTAACAGAAGCTATTTCAAATAAATTCACCATCATAAAAAATGGGAAACTAAAGCTTTTTTAACATTTAGAATTTCACAGAGAAAATTAAATGTGCAATTTATATTTGGTTTTATAATTGTATACATTTATGATTCATATTTATAAAACAATAGTGAAAGAAGGGAGAAAAAATGCATTTTGCAAAAGCAACAATTTACCAATAAATCTATATTCCAATATATATATATATACACACATTTCACAGTTTAAAAACAGCATTTGAATATTCATCAGATTGTGGAGAAATTACTCTTTCAATTTTCATATAATGTACAGTCATGCACAATCTCATACCAACGTGTAATTAATTACACAACATTATCCTCTGATCACATATGACAAGGGTTTTTCAGAACTAATATATTAAAATGTGGTATTAAATAGCTAAGGAAAACATTTTTTTAACACTTCACTATCTATTTCATTTCCACTGCCAATTTACTAATATAGCTTATTAAGTACATCCATATTATGTTATATTTGAGTTTAAAAAAAAAATTCAGCTATAATTGCAAGAACATTCTACACATATAATATATACGGCATCCCAACAAAAATGCTGTATTTAACATGACCCCCCCCCAACAAATGCTTTATTTTTTTTTTAAATGAAAAATAGTTTTCCACACATTCAAGAGATAAATGGTCTCATTTAAGACTCTTAGGCTTGATTTAACCAACAAACTGGTATTTTATCACTGTAAATTCATTTTACAGTAGCTTAGTCAGCACAGAAAGCTATGAAAAAGAATGAGTTTTGAATATCGAAACTCACTACGAAAACAGTGAGTGTTATGCACACACGCTTACGAAACTTCATATAGTCTTCGAGCATAAAGAGTGCACCTATTGAAACAAAAGAGTACAGATTAATAAAGAAATCTGACAGCACAGGTTCAATGGCAGACATTTGGCTACCACCTCTCGATCCAGCCTATCTGTTGAAAACATCACTGTTGTGTGTTACGTACGGTGTGCGACAGTGTTATTTATTACAAGTTCCAAACAATCCAAACTTATGCAACAAAAGAACTTAGCTCGAAAAGTGTCATTATCATGATAAGCAGATGTGTGAAAAGTGATTAAGAATTTCATCAAAAGAGTGCACTGCTGCAGTTGTGGTAGATATTCATTCTTAAATCGGAAAATTTATCTGTTGTAAGTTTGTAAAAATATTTTCCATTTCCTAAAAAAATACAGGATTTTGCTAGGCATATTAAATCCAGCATTCCTGTTGGGACACCCTTTATATTTTATGTTCACAATTTTACTTCAAAATACAACTTTATAGATACATAAAATTAAAATGGTATTTTAATAACTTATTTATGATTATTTCTATAAATGATTGCTGATATGTTTGAAAAATTTAAAAATTACGCTGTGTCTTAAATATGGGAATGATCATTTTTAGCCATGTTCTTACAAATATTATATATTTATTCTTGCAGAACTGATGAAAATTTCAGCATTAAAATTTACTAAAATATTTATCAATGTTCAAACTGTTTGGTATGCACTCTTTATAATAAAATTTAAAAATTCATAAAAAGTATCATTAAAAATCAAGTTGAAGAAAAATGCAAAATAAATGGTATCCTCTACATACTGATTAAAATAAGATGAATTTCAAACTTTTCTTCTTAGGTTGTCCTAGAAACTAATATACTTAAACTTTTAGTCTCTTTGCTTACTACTATGAGAAGGTTCAAAGGAATTTAAGCAATTATGGCTATATGTGATATTTCTAAAATACATATAATATAAAAGTAAATACATGGAGGCCATATTGAAATACATAAAGTACAAAAATGTTTCAACTAATATTATATTGTTTAAGACATGCATTGAGTTAACTTAGTTTCTAAATTTCATATACAGCAGAACTCGCATAAAAAGTCCATGTGCAAGTAATTTATGCATAAGAAGACTAACTTTTTAAAGTTTCAAAATAAAATACGATGGTTACATTACATTCTCTGGATATGAAATTTTGGCTGTTTAGAAGTCTGATCCAATAACACCAAAATGACATAATTTTTATCAAATTTCATAAGTTTAATAAAGTTTTTAAGTTTATGTATAAAAGCTTAATTTTTAAAGTTTTATTCCCTTTAGAAATGAAATTTTTTTTTTGAGTTTTAATTAACTGTCTAACTATTAGGCTATCGATATATGTCACACTACAATCAATCTTCACACACGTGAACAGAAGTTTCTTTTCAGACAGTTTTCAACTGATACAGCTCAGACAATTATATACTGATTATGGCAGTTAATTAGCCAATTAAAATCAATAAAAAATACATGCTGATGTTCATTATATTCTGCATATATCCATTGAATACTGAATTTTAAACTAAAAAAATTGCTGGAACTGCAATTACATGCAGTATGTTAAAAAAGTTTCTTTCAAAATTAGTTTTATCAAAATTTAAAGGATAGACTTATTAAATCAATTTATTACAAATTGTCATACAATTTTCTTATGTCTATTTAATGCTCGTGGCATATTTTATATCATTTACTAACTAAACTAGTCAATGATTCATAAATTGTTAACCGATTTTCACTTTACTGTAATTGCTCAATTAAACTGTTAAGTGCATACACATGATGACTTCTTTTTGATTCCTTACATTAAATGTACCACTTACAAACCTTTTGTTTTAATAGTATCTTCCTCTGAATAAGGTCTCCCTGCCTGTAAAGTTCCTGATCTTCAGACCTTTGAAAAACATTCTTAACTTGGTACTATTGCATTTCTTACTCAATCCTCAGTTAATTTTGCAACATTTTATACACTATGATTAATCAATCTTTTCCTGGTATTTTAGTTTCACAGAAAAAAAAATGTTTCAGGGAAGATAGGCAGGTTCTTCTTCAAGAAGTAAAAAATTTTCTGAAGAAGAAAAAATCTGTGCCTGTCTTTTTTAAAATGCACAGTTTTTTTCATAAAACTAGTGTTGACAGAAATTTGAATTTTGCCCACTTCTAAAAGATAGGAAAAAATTGGTCTTTTAGTTCCCAAATGTAAATTTTGTGACCACGTAAAAGAACAAATCAAAGATAGGAAAAAATTGGTCTTTTAGTTCCCAAATGTAAATTTTGTGACCACGTAAAAGAACAAATCAAACTGATTTTAAGAAGGACTCTTAAATCTTAATCATGCAACACAGTAAAACAAAATTTTAGGAAGAAACTATAAACAGCTGGAACATAAATTTAGTGTTAATTACACAGATCAAATTTCTTAAAATGCTATTTTTCATAATAAATGAAAATTTTCTACACAATTTCTTACAATATGAACCATTATTTAATTTATGAAAGCTATTCCAAATAATGCATTAAGTTCAATTGTGTAAATAAAAATTTAAAAAAAAATCAACTACAGAAAAGAATTAATTTTCCTTTTAATGAACACAAATTAAATTTACAGTTAATTATTATCTTGCACTAAACTAGCTATTAGTTGTCTGCTTGTATATAATAATACTCTGTTATATTTGTCACATGCCAGCTAACCACATCTGAAAGAAATTTACAGAACTCACTATAATCAAAACTCTGAATTAAATAATAATACAAAAATAACACAACCTAAATAAGTTAGGACAAATTAATCCTCTTGTCAGCCAAATTCACTTTCATTCACATCTGTAATCATTTAACTATTTCAGTATTCATTAGCCTTATTTTTCTGTACAAATATCACACAGTACTTTATATATCATTTAGAAAAGCTTTTACACTCCATGAATATACACACAAGTATTATAATCCACCAACTTTAATTAACTTTGAAAAAAAAGCATGCATAAAAGAATTTCTCAAAGATTGTAATAAGTCAAAAATTTCTGTTTGCAAGTACAGTTTTGCCAAGAGTAAGCAATTTTTTCTTTTTAAACGTGAAGTTGGTTGGTCAAAACATATGTATGCAATCTCTATTAAAGAAAGAATAAAATATGGCACCCTAATGAAAAAGTTAAATATATACAAAAACATATAAATATATACATATATTCCAATCTTATCCTGACTAAAATGACACTTTTCAAACATTTTAATTTTATTAAGCTTTACTTCCTGCTTAAAAAAGTTTAATAAAAATCAGTTTCAGCTTTTCCACTAGTGCATTCATAAGCAAATAGTATGATTCAGATTTGTCGCCATACTCAAAACTAGTACTTTAATAGTCATGGACTATACTAGGAAATAGGATATCCCTGAATCTTTATCATGCACTTCAAACAAATTATGTAGGTTTTCAACACATAACCCCCCCCCCCAAAAAAAATAGTTTCTGTATGATAATTGTTGACAGAGGCAAAAACAATACAGACAGACACACACACATTTAAAAAAAAATCACCTCTTATAGCTTAGCAAAATGCTACTAAAAAAATTTCAGTTATATGATCCACTTCAATAAATTAATTTTTTATAATGTGATTAGAGAAATTTAACATTAGTATAACCATGGTATAAGAAGAAATAATATATCAGTAATAGTCATGGAATGCATAGAGAAGCTCAGCCGAAATTCTGCTTCAGTGACAGCACTCATCAATCACAAGCATTCTCACAACATGTTCTTTTCAACTACTAATTTTCAAACACATACTTTATATTTATGTGAAAATAGACTTTCTTCAAACTGAAAAGAACAAAGATTATTTCACTACTACTATGCACTTAAAACTGTGCAACAAAATTTCAGGCTAATATTTGCACCACAATGTGCAACATATACAACAAAAATAAAATGAAAGACGTACTGCAACTTTATTTAGACTGCGATGCTTGTCCTCGTTAAAATGTGGTAAAAGAGCTCAAGAAATTTCAAAAGGTGATGGACAAACATGGACCCTACAGTTGAGGCAAAATCACAACAAATAAACAAAATTCTTAAATAATTAAAAATTCTGTACTCAATAAGCCCACTGGAACTCAACACAAAATATTATAAAAGTGCATTTATATTGCATAGTACAGACACATACATATGGGACACATACAGAAGAATAATTAAAAAAAGTATGAAAGTATAAAACAATATGGAGTTTACACATATTACTACAATATAAGAGATAAGATTCAAGTAGAAAAATTGAGCGCTGTCAATTTACTCTTGTCTGTTCAGATTTATGTAAAAGATTAAATTACAATAAAACTAGCAATGAGAATCGCAGGTTGCCTGTAATGCAAAGTTTGTAAATTATAATTTTGATAAAAAATTAAAACCTCAATATGCAAAGATATTATCCATCTCCACCCCTTAAAAAACAACAATAATTTTAAAAATCCCGATCATATATACAAGTTTATGTTTAATAAATTACATCACTATTAAACAACATTTAGAGTCATGGCTGCGCTTGCAATATTTTTACACAGATGGGTTTAATTACCTGGCAGGCAAATCTTGACAAACACATTAATGCAAAGCAGAAAAACTGTAACAAATATAAAATATAAAACAAATTTTTGTTTATTTCTAAAAAAATTATATAATATTTTTGAAATTTCAGTTTACATGATAACATCTTCTTTCCACAGAACAGGAATACATAAGAAGAGATAAAATTTACTCAACATGCTACATTTTAGCTTGCATACGTTTTCTATTTTAATCTTAACAAATGCAAGGAAACTTTTCCTTTTTTAGGAAGAAAATTTAGCAATAAACAAATAAATAGTTATTTATCTTATATATACATATAGGAACAAAACTGATTAAAAAATTATGATTTATGACATATACTGCATTTACAAGTAAAAATTTTATACTAGTAATAAAACTGCTAGAAAGTGCAACATGAAAACACAAAGCAGCAGCAGTAATTAAAAATTGTTTAAACTAAACCTTCTGTATTCCTCAAAGAACGTGATACACAACTAAAACTTAAATTTAGATTCAACACTAAAATAAGTTTGTAAAATTTGAAGCTGATAACAAAGAATATAATTTATAAAACCTGTAACAATTGTCACTAAAAGAAAAACCAAATTATAGTGAAAAATTTCTTAAAATGCTTTATTAAGTTCATCTAGCATATAAGAGAAGACTTTCTTAAAAAGATTTCCGTATTAAAAAAAAAAAAAAAAAAGAAAAGAAAAGAGGTAAAAAAAAGAAAAAAAAAAAAAAAAGAGAGAGACAGAAAACATTAATTACTTAAAAAGGTACTAAAATTTTGATTTTTGATAAAGTGATAAAAATTTCAGTTGAAATTGTAAAGAGAACTACATAATTATATTACATTTGATATAAGAATAAAATCAAATTTCAGTTCAACTATCTAATTAAACGAAGGGATTTTGCTATTATAACCATAATAAGAATACTGCATTAGATTCAAATATCCCTACACTTCTGGATTCAAACTAAATGCTTAAAGGTACAGAAGAGAAAAAAAAAAAAAAAAAAGAAAAAAAAAAAAAAAAAAAAAACAAGCATGTTTTGAGAAAATTAAATCCACCTTTTGCTAAAATAAGTTATGGTGGCAAATGGCACTTGAACACACATTACATCACAGATATAAGATACCTCAAAAACATTTGTGCAGCATTTAAAACAAACACAGAAATAAAATAATCTTTTTGGCTGAATATTTTACAAACAGTAAATGGCATTAATGTCTTATGTATAGATATATTTATTTATATATGCATTATGTATACAGTTATTAAAAATTAAATTATTTTGTGAAAAACCAAGACACACATTTTCTTGATTTCATAGCTATAGTATTTCACTCTATGAACTCAACTAGAATTCAAAATTATTTGTGGGCTATACAAATATATATATATACACAAATAGAAAGCAACAACACCACACTTTATACTCATCTCCTTATAATATCACAGCTAAATGGAACAAAAGTTCATTTTACTTTTAACTGACCAGCTAAACAAAACAGGACGAAAATTTATTACTTCATAAAAAAAATCCACATTTGTAAATTTATATTGATTTAAAATTGACATTCAAAAGTAATCAGTATAGAAATTTTAACTTGAATTTCACACTCTAAAATCAGTTTACACTACACATTTAAAGTGCAAATTACAATTTTTAGATAATAATTTAAATTCATTTAACTTAATAGAAGGACAAGAAAGCAAATTAAAGCTAAGCAATAATACCTTAAAGTACAATTAACCTCTGTATAAGAAGGTTGTTATGTTTCTAAAAAAAATGCTGAGAATTTGCATAATACAAACAAAGCAGCAGCATGCACTACATGCACAAAAAAAGGGGGGGTAAGTATAAAATTTAATTATTAAAAAAATGTTTATTAATATTATTTAAAAGATTAGATATTAATCTTTATTATTAAATAATGAAGAACCTATCTGATATGTTCCTTGCATTGTGAGAAAAAGGCAGCACCTTGGAACACCAAATTCGTTTTTTACTTATTTCATATTTTGTGCAAATTTAATAAATTCAGAAACAAATGATTAACAAATTCAGAAATTTAAAAGCAATATGTTGCCACTCAAGAAAGAGTAAAATATTTAATTTTCAAATTTAATCATAAAACTCACAGTGATTTAAAAGAAATTTGTTGCCACTACCCAAAATAAAATACTTTATGCTAGTGTGTTGCTATTCAGGAAAGTGCAAGATGTTTAATTTTTGTTTCAAATTTAATTTGTCTGCCACTCATTAGCAAACAAAGCAATAAATGTACTTCTTATTTACAGTATTAATTAGGAACTGGACTCATGAGTGTTTTTTTTTTTTTTTTTTTTTCTTTTTGGGAAACATCCTCATCTTTTGAGCTTTTCAACATCATCTTTGAATTAAGAGACCTTCATATACTTAATTATTTGGAGCTAAGCTTTTATGATGTAATAAGCACACTTCAATTCAGTGCTTCTTTCACAAAATATTAGAAAGAACATCACTTTTTTTTTAAAACTGAAGAAATTTTCATTATGAAAATTATTTCATTTCATTATGAAAATGTAACTCTAACAATATTTATAGGAATGCTGGAAAGGAAATTCCCTCAAATTATTTAAGAGAAAATCTGTGCTGTACAGCACAGGATCCTGCCAGCAACTATTAAGTGTTGTTTACATTCAGTTGTTGATACTTTGAATTAATTTATTACGACTTCCATTCAACAGTACAAGACTGATTATTATTATGAAACTAAGACATACCTGTAAAAAAAAAAAAAAAAAAAAAAACTTTATTTTAACTGAATAATTTTCTTTGCCTGTCAAATAACAGAATAATGTTTACTTTTACATCATAAACAAACCTAAAAAATAAGAAGAGAGAACTTAAACTTTAATAAAATATATATGGTGTTTGAAAAATGGCTGTGGGTATCATTTCCTTTGCGAAAAACTTTTAATTATCATTTCTCAAAATAAAGTAAGAGAATTTTAAGAAATGTTTTCGAATACTAATAGTAAGAGGGTTACTATCTGAACAGTTCAGGAAATGCTGAATTCCAGAAACATGAAAATCTTATATAGTTGAAAGCATAAACAATACAAATCATGAAAGCACAACGAGTGGAAGAAAATTTTGGTCTAAAATTACAAAAACAGTCATCTTAATTTGTTACCAATTTAAATATAAAAAACTTACATTTAGTAATTATGTAAGATGTTAGGAGTGGGGGGGGGGAAGCATTTCAGACATAACCAATATATTTTCTAGGCATTCTTCTTAAGGTTGACAGCAAAATATTTTGTCTGACTTTGAAATTCCACTAATCATGAAAGTTGGCAGAATTGTTGCTAAACTTGTGCTAACCATTTCTGTACATTTTTAATGGAACAGATTATTCTCTACTTATAATTAGAGAATCAAAAGATGCAAGTTACCGATATAGCAAATAAAAATGTTATATCATGCATTATAATTTCTTATGCTGCATCATTATTTTTTAGCTTATTTCAAATGAAGTTCTAAATGCATGCATGCATGCATGCAAAAAAAAAAAAAAAAAAAAAGATAAATAGCAGTTAATGTACATTCTTGTTTACAAAAACTAAACCAGCTTACTGAAACTGTAATCTGCTTATCAAATTAGTGGTGTTAAAACACACTAGCAACAGTATGTATATACATGCTTTATAATGGCTTTAAAAATCCTTCATTTGCTTAATTTTTCAGAAGATTGAGGTTTCAGATTAACTGAATAACAGATAGCCAGGCTTTTACTATGCTTGCATGATTCTCTTAAATGAAAAATTTCAATAATTAAATACACAAATCTGTATGTGGGCCATTTGTGCAAATCTAAAAAAACAGTTCTGCAACAAATATTTTCAAGGAATTAATTACAAATTTTATAGTGGATGTTCATTTACTCAACATGGAGCCAGTAATATCTCAAACAAGTTACTTTTGTTTTGTAATTACATCCTAAATTTGGCTGAAAACTATGAATTTTCATCACTGACAACCATTGAAAAGAAATAAAGATATATTACTCAAACATATCCACAGATGCTGTGCATAATGATGTGATAGTAAATCATTACAAAAATTTCATTAACTGAAATTTTTGCACTGCGAATATCATTATAAAAGTTAGGATTTAATTTACAGAACCTTTCTACCCACAATGTTAAAATATTTTCCACACAATTTTGAACTTTGTCACAGAAAGTAAACACTGAAAGATAAAATCTTGCAGCCATTTCAACCCTTTTTAGATATTTAGAGGAGGAAAAACATACTACAACCTTTAGCTCATTAAAATCCATCCTTTTAATGCAACTACATACACAAAAAAGCCAATGTGAAATATCATTAATTATTTTGTCCACACTATTAATATTAATTAAGTGTTCAACTTGCTTATAAATAAATTTATAAGAAACAATTTTTCTTCTTTTCGTCTGCATAGATGAAAAAACATACAGCAGTAAAAGAATGTTTGTTAATTTTGTTACTCTAAGTATATCAACAATGAGATTAAAATAGTCTGCACCAATTAATCAAAAAACATGATAAATTCTCTTCAAAGTTCTTGATTTGAAACAAATCTAACATCTTCAGCACTTCTCCTGATAGCTCCTCCTTATACTTCAGGATCTATTATTTGTTACAATAGTAGGATCAGTATTTGTATCAGCCCACAAATAAAAGAGAGAAAGGGAAAAAAAGGTTAATTAAACACTAGTATTGCATAATTTAATATGTACATCCACAGGAGGAGAAAACTTGATTTCCTATTTCACTGCCTCATAGCACTGTTTCTTTATATATTAAATTACAATTTAAATTACACCAAGGGCATGCAGTTTGAAGCAAAAATGTCTGCAATGAACTGCAGCATGTTTGACTTCTTTCCCCCACTTCCAAACACCAATATTTTCATTGTTTTTTACCATGCCTTCACCTTAATTTGTAGGTGTTGGTGTGCTGGATGTTTTATTTGCAAGAGATGTTTGCCCAGCTGCTGCATTTAATGTTTGACTTGAAGTGCCAAGCAAATTTGTGCTGCTGTCCATTGAGCTTCCAGTACTTGACATTGCTAGCTTCCTCATCTGACGTATGACGGCAGTGGCATTGTATGCTTGCTGCAAAAATCAATGTTAAGAACAATTGATATAACACTTCAACTATGGTACTTATGGTAGGAAAAGAGAACTAAAAAACTAAGCATTTATCTACAGTTAATATTTTATGATTTGTAAATTTTTAGAATGAAGCAGCAATCTTAAGAAACTGATTCAAGATGTAAAAAAATATTATTACTTCATTTTGATTTAATATAATCAACTTTCCTATCTTCAATTTGTATAATAAAATGCTCACTTATATTTGAAAAATATAAAATGCACAACAGTTTTGAAAATGTAAATCTGAGTTTGAAAAAATACATATTTTTACATTAAACTGAACTACATAATATAAAAATGAAACTAAACAGATATAAAAAGGCTACAAGAAAGGGATTTCTGAAATACAGATATCAATCATATATTCTTTAAATGTTTTGCATAAAGTTTAAGTCTTTCAAATAAATATAAAAATGCGCATAAAAATTTAAAAAGAAAAATTCATCATGTCTCTACTTAATTCTAGGAGAAAACAAAATAAACTTAACTTTCATTATATGATATTCTTCTCCCCCCAACAATATGTTTAATAGACTTCATTGAAAAAGACAGAAGTGGACTCAAGTAATACATACAATGAAAGAATTGAAACATACGTAATAAGACATGCCACATCCTAAAATAATTTTAAACATTAAAATATTTTGTATATTATGGTTTAATTTAAAATATTTCACATTGTGCTTCAATAATCACCATCACTTAAAAGCTGTGTTCACTTTACTTTGAATCTCTAATGCCTAGCAACATACACTTATAAGGGAACTGTAACTAAGTAAGATTAAGTAAAAATGCCATCTAGATGAGGGCACAGTCAAACGAGAGCCGATTGATAGTAAGGACAGACATGTCCAAAATGTTTTGAAGATTATTCCTTTTACTTTTCTTTTCATTCTAATGTAAATAAATAAATCCTAGTTTAACAATAACTTCATGAGTTGTAGTAATGCTGATCATCAATTCTTCCCTATATTTTGGTGACAGAAGTAGTTTCGATTTCATGCCCATAGTTGGATTGTGTTACATCACCTGCACTAGATTCTGATCACCATTGTATCTGTATTATTAAACTTCACCCATTTTTAAAAGGATTACAGGTGAGCACTTTACATTTATCAATATCACGTTGACTGTATAATTGTTTAAAGTAATGAATATGTGAAATGTTTCTTTTCTGAAGAAAATTTTGAAAAATTAAAACAAAAGCGTAGTATTGAAAGCAGTACTACCAAACCAATTTCAAGAATTGATGTTGCTTTAGCGGATGAAAATGTTATATGTGATATCTTAGACGGATATCTAGAAGTTTTAATAGAAAAAAATGAATAAACTAAAGTCCTTAGATAGACAAATTGAACATTTCATTGATGTAAACTTAATTGAGGAAGAAGTAAACACTAGGACTGATTACCAAGAAAAATGTCTCAGGTATACTAACAAACTTATTGACACAGAAGAAAACTTTGTCAAAAGTCTTTAATCCCGACGTAAATAATCCGGACCTCAAAGCTATAAATTTTCTGTGCATGCGTAAACGCATTTATGTGTTTATGCATGCACATAATATGTTTACGCATGCCCGTTTAATGTATAACGGACGGTATAAGCTAAGCTAAAATGATCTAATTATCTATTTCAGTTAATGTTGCAGATTGCAATGTTCCTTAATCTTCTAATTGGATCTGGCTTATTATTTTTTCCAGACTGTTAGAGCAATTTTATAATTTATTTTATAATTTAAGCAATTTTATAAAAGTAAGCTTGAACTTTTGATTATGTCAAAAAGAATTTCCGATTCTGGAGCTGCCAAAGGATCTACAAAGTGAAAGCATGTTTCGATGTCCATCAAACAAAAAATGGAATTGCTGCACAAATTGGATAAAGGCATATCCTTTGTTTCTCTAACCATTCCGAAATCTGTTTATCAATTTCACGCTGCTCTGTAGGGAAGGGGAGGACGTTGCAGCACGCAATGAACTGGAAGTGATCCATCAGCACTATCCTTATCTTCAGGGCAGATGTTTTTATTTTATTCGGCTTATAATTCCTTACTAATTGTAGTATTTTCTCTCGATGTACTCCGTCTTTGATATGATTTAAATCAAATTCCTTGTCATTATAAATATCTCGAATACGAATCAAACAGTTTTCTGGTTGCAATTTTCTAATTTTGACTATGCGTAATGTATACTTTATGCATGCGCACATTGAAAGAAATGTTTAATAAAGTAAACAAATAAATATTAAGCTTTTTTTTTGTAAATTTTGATACCCTTTAGACCATAATTGCTCTTTATTTCATAAATTACAGTTTCATATTTTTAATTTTATAATTTCTGCATGCCATCTTACCAGATTTAAACTGATGATATATAATCCGGAAAAACCAATAATCCAGAATCGGTGAAGTCCCGACGAGTCCAGATTAAAGACTTCTGACTGTACTAGCTCATTGACGTCTGATAAACTGTTAAGTACTCTGAATGATAGCTTAAATTTACTCTCTTCAGTTAACTTCCTAAGTTAACAAACAAACCGTATTCAAGAGACCTAAAATTGTGGAATGAATTCTGGAATACGTTTGAAACAAGTATCGATCAAAATGATTCACTTTCCGAAATTGAAACATTTGCCTATTTAAAAACATACTTAAGTGGAAGAGCATTAAGTGTAATATCTGGTTTTCAATTAACAGATAAAATTTATGACAACTGTGTAAAATTACTAAAAGATCTTTTGGTCAAAATGATATCATCATTGATTTTTTATGAGTAAACTTTTAAACTTGCAAAGTGCTAAAAATTCTTCAAATGTTCCAGCTTTGAGAAGGTTATATGATGAGCTAGCTTAATATCACTACACAAAATTTAGATTCAATGCAAGAGGATTCAAAATCCTATGTTCCACTTTTGATTTCAATTGTTCCAAATTTATTGCCAGAAAATCTTGCTTTAGATTTTAAGTGAAACACATATTCAAAATGTGATGTAACATTTCTGATCTTCTTCCTTTTTTAAAATGGGAAATTCAATCTCATGAATCTATATTTTTAGCTTTACGTGACAGAAAAAGTATCTCAGAAAATTACAGTAATTACCAGTCATCGAAATGCTGTAATTGTAATGGGTTTTGTCTTTTATCTAAGTTTTGCCCCGATAAACATTGCGGCCCCAAATGTTTACCTTGTGGAAATTTCGGTCATAAATCCCTTATGTGCATTAAAAAATCTCAAAGGCAAAATGCTGACAAAAACAGCACTCCATCTGAAAAAACAAATGCTATCACATCAATCAACTTTCATGAGCCAAACCTATTCCATAAAGTAATCAAAATTAATGATATATCCTCATCTATATCAAATTAATGATATATCTCATCTATATCAAATTAATGATATATTACTCATATAATCAAAACTAATGATAAATTACCTAATGATATATCTATATATGATATATCATTAATCATCATTTAATGATATGTCATATATCCTCACTGACTCACCTGTCTCAAACTAATGATATAAGTGATATATCACTTCCAGTATCAATGATAAAATTGATACTGGAAGCGAAGCAACAGTCCTGTCTAACAACATTTATAAACAAATAGGGAATTCCCCTTTAAGCATGTTTCAGAATATGTTAACTGGATTTGGTAATGACAATATTAAACCAATGGATTATTTTGCAGCTGACATTTTAACAGATACGGAATTATTCAAGACTAATGTATATGTTGTAGACAGTAATGTAATGTCATTTGATGCTATAATTGGCATGGTTATTCTTTAACAAGGTGAAGTTAATATAAACAACGATGGTGTCCATATTTCTAAACATGAAACAAACTGATCTGGAAGATGTGTACATCAATAATATTTCCCTTAATCAAAGATTTGAATTAGAAATAGGTCCTACTGCTACAAAAGAACAAGTTACGATTATTGAGAATCTTGTCTCCGATTACAAACTTTTCAAAACCAAAACTATGAACACTGAGATGACTATCAAAATTGTAATAACAACCTTGTGTTTAGCGTAAGTATATTCAAACACTCAATCGATTTCGAGGGCAGCTAAAGGTCCCTCCTCATCAGGAGAAAGAAATACCTAGAAAGAAGAAAATTAAGGGGAAGGAGTCTCAGAAACACGTGGTCCTTATCAGCACTGCACGTGGTTATAACTGGATTTTTAATCAGAGTTGCACTGGCTGCCTACTTTTACTGAGCTAGGCTATCTGATCAAGCATAAGGAACAAGAAAAATTAGCGAAGTTAAAAATAGGGAGCGAGGGGCAAATGCACCTTCAAGCTCAAAATCTGAACTTCAAATAATGAAGGACCACATGTTTCTGAGACTCCTTCCCCTTTATTTTCTTCTCTCTAGGTATTTCTTTCTCCTGATGAGGAGGGACCTTTAGCTGCCCTCGAAATTGATTGAGTGTTTGAATATACTTACGCTAAATACAAAGTTGTTTTTACGATTTTGATTGTCACATTAGCGTGTTTCTCTTCTAGTCTACTGAGATGACTATTCAAGTAAAAGATAAAACACCTATTTTTTTTCACAGACCTTGGCAATTATCTTTTGTTGAAAGAGACATTGTAGACAAGCAAGTTCAAACTTGGTTAACTGAAGGCATAATTCAATTTTGTTCTTCTGTATATTCTAGTCAAGTTGTAATAGTAAAAAAAAAAAAAAAAAAGGTGGGGTGGGGGCTATCCTAGAGTTTGTATGGACTATTGCAAATTAAACAAGAAAATAGTTGATCGGTATATCTTACTCTTAATAGAAGATTTAATAGATAAACTACAAGATGCTCATACATTCACCACAATCGATTTAAAAAATGCTTTCTTTCATGTTAGTGTTGACAAAAACAGCTGACATTACACTTCATTTGTCACACATAATGAACAATATCAGTTTCTAGTGTACCTTTCGGTCTCTGCACCTC